AGTGTGTGTGTGTGTGTGTGTGTGTGTGTGTGTGTGTGTGTGTGTGTGTGCCCCAAGGCGTGTAGATGTGTGTTGAGCGACGGAAGGGGATATCAAGATTCACAAAGAAAAGTTAAAATTTCAAAAGAGTTACACTGACAGAGATTCAATGTCAATTTGCTGTCTTGATTCCTGTCTGGTTAGCAAATTCACTTTTTGTTGGGGAGAAGTCCAGTGTCACAAAAAGTTGCCCTTGAACATGGAAGAGAGTGCTGAATTTTGATTAGAACTTACGAAAGCGGGAATTTGATTTTTAACCCCTCCTTCCTCCCAAATAAAAAAAACCAACAAAAAAGCCATCACACTCTTTATACATTCCCGCTTTCAACCCCATTTCAAGTACCGGAACAACATGTACCGTTGATCAAACAAAGTATTTTATGTATGCCAAACAATGCAGAAAAAAGGGTGTGAGAAAAATAAAAAAGGATTGAAGAAAGAAAAAAAAAAGAGCAATGAAAGAAAAAGAACAGGCAGAAAGAAAAAAAGGTAAAATTAAAAAACAACAACAATTGAATGCCGTAAAAGCTCTCATACAAACTTGCAAAACATTATTTTGTAAATTTGTTTTTCTTCATAAAAACCTCTAATGATACGTGACACTACTGCAACACTACTGCATCTGCACACGAAATAGTTGTTTGTATACATGACTCTATCTTACTCGTGTACACATTCTCCTGTTTGTTTATGTTTCAGCTATCACCAGCAGAGTGACGTTTTCCACACCTCGAGACAGTTGAAGCTCGTAGAGCGTTCCTCATCGTTCCTACCCTCTAAGACTCGGGGCAAGCGGTGGTAAATGAACCAGGATAAGTGAACAGTGGTGGAAAAACCGCGGATGTTTTGCTGCCTGTTGGGGCAGTATCGTCTTCCAAGATGAGTGCTAGTGATGGGGTTGACACAACGCAGAAACGTGCACTTCGGGAATCAAGTGCGGTCCCAAGCGAGCGTGCTAATTTTGCCCGTATCGCTAGTGACTTCAACACATCTGATAACGAGAGTGGGGAGAAATGCTGTGATGTGAAACATGAGGTAATGTCTGGGCTAGAGTTTGAAAATGCCAGCCAGACACATTCGGACTGTAAGTCCAACGAGAAAGCTAAGAATCAGAAGAAGGATTTTTACGATCTGGAAGACGCTCGTAAAAGACAATTCTCCGATACTTATGTTCCTGGAGATGGCCTGAATTCCCAACCTGGTGAGGTTGTGGAGGAGGATGATGATGACGACGACAGCACAACGATCTCTGACATCAATTCTGACGATGACTTCGATTTGGACGGGGAGAGTGTGAGTATGTCGGACTCCGACGCGGACAGTACTGTGTCATCAGGGACCAGCAGCTACAGGTCCTCGGCAGATTCACTGGGTAGACGGGGCAGCTACGACTTCCTGGCGGCGTCTGTTGCGGCAACCAACGACGATAATCTGTCCGAAAGTGGTGGTGGCGACGTTGGCGACGATAATGAAGAGGAGGATGAGGAGGAATTCTTCGACGCAGAGAATGGTGAAGCTCATAACAAACTTGAACATAGTTCAGCTGTCAGCATGACAGTGAGTCACCCTAATGGATTACCAGATAAGCAGACTCTTTCTGTGTCGGAACAAAACAATTCAGGCCTTGTAGACTCCTCATCCTACAGCAACGCTTCTATACAATCAAACAATGAAAGTAGCGGAAATGATTCGGAGTGTAGCCCACAAAAGCTAGAAGAACATTCTAAAAATAACAGTTCGATAAATATGTCAGATGAGAACAAGGAGAAATCTTTCTCAATGGACGTATCTGCCCGGACCGAGCCGAGCAGCGAGTCTGACAACGCTCACGAATCAGGAGCCATGAGTCCGATGCTTTCCCCTGACGTCATCGAAGGTTTCAGTCTGAGCCAGGCGTGGGTGGATCGTGTAAACCGTAGCCTGGCGGAGAACGTCCAGCCCAGAGTCACCACCACGGGTGAGGAGCTGGCCAGAAGCGCCGTTGTGAGAAGGATTATGAAAAGATTTTCCGAAAAAGGTGATAGTAAATCTGCAAGACCCAGCTTTATAGCAGAGGGGTTAAGAAAGACTTCTTCTGACAAGAGACCTGATCGGAATACTGGAGTCCGGAATAAGTCTCAAGTTTCCAGGCCGGGATTGCAACCTCTATACGGTATCGTGTATAACTCCAAACCGAGAACTCAAAGCTATAAGAGAGCTTGTTCTGTCCCTGCCGTACCAAGTCACATCGTAGAACAGTTATCTCCCTCGCATTCTTCAGATCAATCCATGGAGCATCAGTCCAATGACTCTGATGCTCCCGACAAGCAATCTTCCTCACAGCAGATTAAAACCACCCAGGAACCATCCGCCTGTATTTCTAAAGGGAAGTCAAATCGACGACCAGCCCAGCAAACATCTTCTTCTAGAGTCAGCCTGCAGGCTACTCTACCAACCATTATTGATACTTCGCCTCAAGGCAAACGTCCCCGGGCAGAAGGGGACATCGAATCTCTCATTGGAGCGTCCTACTTATCGGATAACCACGCAGCGGTTTCCGTCAGCGTAAACGATCGCTCACTGCGAAAAAGTCCTCATCCCGTGGCTGAGTGTCCGGTTGCGCACGTGAGCTCCGGAAGCGAAGATGAATCCCATTCGGGACGCTCTACCCCAACTCCGTCACAGACCGATCATGAAGATGTAAAACAAGGATATAATGGGAGTGGTTACGGCAGACGTGAGAATAGTATATCAGAAGAAGATTCTGGAAAAGCAGATGTAATGGATTACACTAATTCATCGAGGGAAGCCACCACGGATGTCGACAGTTCTGTGGCTTCGGTTACCACCCAGGACAAGGAGACTGACTCGGAGGAGGAGGACAAGTCGGATATACTCTCACACGGACTTATCCGGAAACCGGCCGTGCGGAGGAAAGGATATGCCTGGGTCAGCAAGGTGAGTCAACTACTACGATATGGGCATGCGAATCACTCTCTCTCTCTCTCTCTCTCTCTCTCTCTCTCTCTCTCTCTCTCTCTCTCTCTCTCTCTCTCTCTCTCTCTCTCTCACTCACATACATGCACATTTCTCCCTAGTTGTGCAGGTTTTAAAGATGCATATTAGTATGTTTA